GACTCAACTAGTCAGAAATAGTCAGAACTCACTCGACGCATGCAATCCAAAAGGATTGGGAGATGACCTTGATAGAAAAAAGAGGCAAGCTGACAAGGTATCACCTAAGCTTCACCCAAAGTATGAGGCTTGGAAGTGAGCAGTCATAGGAATGCACAGTTGTGGAGCGTTTGCCATTCGGATTGAAAGCCCCTTGCGTTTCTCTTCAATCTTCGGCAAGGTACAGTAGAGTTCCAATTTGGTGTCACAGAATGTGATCACTGGCTTTAAATGTCGAGGTAGTGAGGCTTCGACCGTGGTTCTTAACTTGGAAGGGAAACAGTTGATAGACGTGTTATTGCAAAACATTTCGATTCAATGCCAACCACCGTTTCCTGGAGCACACCAGGACCATCCAATGGTGTCTGGACTACCCTACACTACCCTCGGGATCTCCATCGGACACCCATTAGAAATGGTCCAGGCATGTATAATCATGTGCATAAATGTACATTACCAGCACCCTCCAACAGGTCTCCTCTGGTGGCTTTTGGAGACTTAAAAGTGGCGGGGTGGTGGTATGTGTTTCATGTCTTCTGCTGAACTCCCCAAATCGAAAGTTGGGGACGGGCCCACCACGATTCAGAGCTTGGCACGACGTGCTAGCCGGAATGGGCTAGGAATAACGTGCAGCAGAACGAGCTGACGTTGGAGTGCGCAAAAGTCCGGGCTGGTCCAGGGGTCACCTGCCCGGGGCGATGTTTGATTCATAACAAGAAGTTACAAAGGCTTCTGAGAGGATGGAAAAGAGAATCTTGCAGGTCCCAGGTGGTGCAGACGGCTTTTAATGCTATGATTACGAGTAGTCCATCTTACTGTGCATGGGATCCACTGGGTTTGGCTGCTTTTCCCAGAGAAAGGGGGCGAGTTTCCGCCGATGGTCAGATGATGTCAGGTTCATCTACATGCTTAATCCATGTTCCAGGACCCTCCGACAGGTCACCAATGGTTCGACCTGAGACAGGGTCCAACAACCCTCAACTAACAGCCTGGCCAGGAGGGTGCTGGTTGAGGATCCGTGGATTCTTTAACCTACTGTAGGTACCCCTCTCATGCAGCTTACTGCACAGGGTCCAATAATTGGATAATCCAGTGAGTCTTTCGAGAAGGATTTCAAATAGGTATGAGATGGTATGAGCTTAGGACTAGGAAGGGCTTGGTAGCTGGGTATTTCAGAGGTGTCACGTACTTGGGAGTCGGCTTTTTGCACCCATCGGCTCTAGTCCCCACACAGCTTCAGTCCCTTGACACTCCAACGACCCGAGAAGCTGGCACTGGAGTTGGTTTATACAGTCTAAATAGGTCCTTATGTACATAGCTTTAATGATCCTGAAACGTGCAACTTAGCTTTTCTTCTTCAAATCTTCGGAGGTTCTTGGAGCCGTAGGGAGCAGTGGAGGTCCTTCAAGCCCCCTCCCTCGCCCCGGGGTACGGTGCTTCCAGATACAGAAGTACGTCTCCCCACTCACCGGAAGGAGGTGTTTCAACACTTGCGAATTCCCCGAGGGAGGGGTTGGAACATGCTGCAACTCGCCTCGTTCTGCCCACGTGCCCCACATAGAACTCGGCCCTTGGGGCCCAGTAAAGAGAGACACCCTAAAGAAGGCGGTCAAAGCTTGACGTGAGACCTCTATTTTCAACCAAAGGCGACCAGGTGAGCAGGTGGGCAGGTTGTGTACATGAAGTGAGCCTACTGAAAACACGTGTGTTTTTTGAATTCACACATCTCATCAGGTATAGCTTTAGTGATGTTTGGAGTTGTTGCACGTTCGGGAGAGGCCGGGTTTGGTCATGTTTGTCACTCAATACGTACTGCGCAGACTTGGATGATCAAAGGATCAAGAATCAGTAGCTAAACTTTGGACCTTCGCAGAACTTAATATGACTATGGCCAAGGGGCAATGTATTTGCTGCTTTATCACCTACTTGTAGCCCTTTATGACTTTAATTAAGTGCCAAAGATCTCGTCTCACTGGACAATGGTTCGCGGTCCACCGTGGTTTTCGGGGAGTCGATTTAGATGTGCTTTTCCCTAGTGCTCCAGATCATCTCTCACAAGGTATCCAAGATTTCAGGTTCAGAGTGTGGGTCCAGAACCAAAGTGTCCTGAGGCTGGGTTTGGGGCCCAGGCGCGTGCTCAGGAGGTTCTGGCTCATATGGAGGTTTCATAAGTCTTGTTTCACGTATGGAAGGTCATCAGCAAGGATCACTATGGACTCTGGACCTCTAATAGCCATCCCATGGCTTGCATGTCATCCACTTTGACTCATTGGTGAGCTGTAGAGTCAGGTGCTGGTACAAACCTACGCAGTTTTCTCCAAGAACATCCTGCCATGTCTTACCTGACCTTGGATCGATGAGCCATGGGCCTTGGAAGGGATGCTGCTTTGCGTGGTGCTCCCCTGAAACGCTTTCTCAGATATTGATCCAAGAGAATGGGATAATTTTAGAGAGCCATTCCATGAAAGAAACAATCTGGGATCTAGCTTATTAGACATGCTTTCACACACAGGTGAAGTGGAGGGGGGTGAGAGATGGTTATAGGTTGCTACTGCGTGCAACTTCTTGCTCAGAGTCTTGCCTGCCTGGCGGTCAGTGCACGGTGCATCATGGCGCTATTTGCAAGCCCATTGGATGGTGGGATGGCAGCGGAGCGTCGGTTGAGGTTCAAGCTGAGTGCCACTCCGGTGAATTACGTTGGCCATTGTTGGCCTACCGCATCACAATAATAGCCAGATTGTAGATGGGTTGGAGGTTCTGTAGATTGATCAAAGATCGAATATAAGGCTACTGGCTTGCAATCAATGGAGACTGGATCCGGATATATATATATATATATTTGGAGGCCTGAGGACAAATGGATCATTGAGTGGAGCCGGGACGAAGATGAAAGCCATGTTCCTGGGCATACGTGAGTATGGCCGCCATCCTGCACCCCAATGACTAATCACCTTGCACCTTAGAATGTTTAGAGTTCGGATCAGACCGTTAGTCATCAACCGCCGGCCTGTTTCCGGGTGGCACGTGGAAGATGATTTTGGCCGGTTACCCCAGACCGGTGGGGTGGAAGAATCTTGGCTACAATCATGGCACACGGGGCTTCCTGGTTGCAACCTGTGGAGCTTCCAACTAACACAACCATTGGTGTATCGTGCCCTGGCCTTACTCAGGTTATGTGCCAGCAGCAACTTGGAAAACTTTGATGCTGATTCTGGTCACTGAGCTGCCGCGCCGTGTGGCAGTGAAGCACGTCTCGAATGAAAAACCACAGCTGGAGCGGGGCAGCTTGAGGGTGGCTGGCAGAGTGATCGACCATGTTTGTGGTTCAAAGGGTAGACTTGAGGATATTTGAGGGACAGTAGCTGTGCGTTAAACTTTAGATCTTTTTGAGAGCGGGTTTGGACCTAAGTCCTGCTCAGGCAGGCCTTGAGACCCAAACACCTTCTAAGAGGGTATCCGGGAACCCTTGGGTTTTGCTGGGGTTCAGTGGTTCAAGGTGTGGCCGCCATGCCTTCGCGAAGCTTCGGCCGTCGGGGTGCTCCATCCGATTAGGGCTGATGCAGGATGCAGCCGCGCTGGACGAAGCAGGGCTACCACCGAGAATTCCCAGCCAAGACCCAGCCATGATGAAAGTCCATGAACTTTTGAGAGCAAAGAAGTAGAGTACGTAGACGGTGAGATGTTCAAACGGCTTTGCTTTGAACATGCCCACTTTGCCTCCAGTCCACTGCTTGTGGCTTTTTGGAATGACCAGTAGGACCGTAAGTATCGGCAAGTTGAAACTGTCCTGCTCTTCAAAGAGCGGGATTTTTGGTGATGTTGGTGTCCTTGCTTTGTTTCAATCCTGCAAGAATTTCAAAAATCTTAGGAGGAAGCGACTGGTGCACTGACATGAGGCATGGTTTGTTTCCTCTGCGATGAGACGCCCAGAGACAATCCCAATACGAGAGCAGTCACCGCCCGCGCAACGTTTCAAAATGTTTGACTCTGCGTGGTTTGTGGGTTGGGAGGGTTCGAGCAGGGTCCAACTCACTCAGTATGAACTCCTCCGTTCAGTTGGCACGATGGTCAAAGTCTTGTGTATGTTCATTTGTTATTGGCCCGAAATGTTCCAATTTCATTCAAACACAGGAAGATCTCCGATTCCATCCGGTTTCAGTTCCAAAAGGATCCAAACTTACGCATCAGTGTCTTCAATCACTTTCTGAGAAGGTACTTGGATCCCTAGGGTAAAAGGGGAAACGGACCAGTTTAGCCAGCCAGGGTCTTCCAAACATACAACCCCAAGTCGGAGACCCCCTTGACACCCCAATGCGGCCCCAATCGAATAGTCAAGAACTGACCTAATGGCAAACTGGGGTTGGCCATACAAAAGGTGTTGGAAGAACTACAGCGATCAGTTTTTTCATGTGTTGCTGGTCCAAGTCGACCAATCTTTTCATGTTCAAAGATCTAGCAGGGAATCCAGATCCATGTGGGCATCCTCTTGTTGTGGATAGAAAATGGCCTTGTTTCACATTTTGTTTGCTTTATGATGCAGTCCTTTTACCTTGATCTACACTTATATAGACAGTCTCAAGAGGATGACCCACATGACCAAGGACATCCAAAGACCAAGGCCAGGTCTTTCTTCAAGGCTAGGGAACCAGGCTCAGACCGATCTTGCCTCACGCTTCTTTTTGTTCCTTTTTTGGTCGCATAAACAGTTCCTTTGAACCAGCAGCTGTTGAATTGCAACAAATTTACCTAGAGAAAACGCCTTGTAATGCTCCTAGAAAGCTCCTTATTTCAGCACGGTGATGCACATCCGCATGTCTTGAAGAAACATATCCAGCACTACAAGAGATTAGCAACACTGAGAAATTCACGTTGTTGTTAGCATTGTAAGTGGCAACAAGATTTATTAACAGCAGGGTCCCCAGCCAATCAAAACTTTTGTTCCATAATACTGTTGGCTTTGGTGTTGCCCTCAGCACTCCAAATCAGCCGCTATGCCGACCGACCATGCCCATTGACATCAACCTCCTTCGCGCAGATCGGTGGGGGCTGGGGTAGCGCATGGTAGCGCGCTTCGTGGAGGGTCGACGGTGCCATCGCCCAAAACCACGCTCGCGCACGCTCGTGCGGCACGGGCGCCAGGTCGGCCCTGGTGCGTGGTGTCGATGTCTCGCGCACGTCGAGCTGGCGCCGCTCGCGATGTCCAGAACTGGGGTGAGGCTGCAGGTCCAGATTTGTGCCATCAAATTGGATTTGGTGCTTCGGAACATCTCCAAATGAGGGCCTGCTGCAGGCCCTGTGGACGGGTCTTTTTTGCAAACCCTTCGATGAAATTCGCACGGGGATCCTTTGACCATGAGGAACCCATCCAGGATTGGAGGGATTTGATGGGTCGTTGTCGCCTACTGCCGAGAGAAGGGTCATGTAGACTCTTGATTAATAAACTCCCCCACAGGAAGAAGTTTTACAATTTTTTGTTTGGTTTCTTTGTGATCGTGTTTCTCCCCACTCCCCTTCGAAAGGTCCAGGGGAGTGTTCAACGCATGGAGGTTTTTTATGTGAAAATACCTGGACCGTCCAATGGAGATGACTAAGTAAAGCAGGGTATCCATGGGTATTCCATTGGACACCCATTGGATGGTAATACAATATATAGTTAAATATATATATATTTTAATTATTGTGTAAAATAGTAGGTGTTCCTCCAGTTAGTTTGCATGATACTTGCCCTCAAGGATAGCCAAACAAAACTGTTCATTGTTAGATGTGTCCTCAATGCACACTTTGTGTGACACACATGCAACTTCGTTTTTACCAGTTGGCGGAGGTCAAGAGTTCCAGCTGAGTGTCAAGAGTTCCGCTGAGGCTTTTCACACCTTGTTTCATCGTTTAGTATGACCAAGTCCAGTGAACATGTAACAAGTGCATCGCTACTAGTATCAAGTGCCTTACTAGTAGTAACAATGTTCGCTAGTAGTAACAAGTGCCTTACTACTAGTAAC